GGAAATTCTTGAAAAACCTTATAAGCTTAGATTTGAACTCTATATCCAGTCGCTTTTTGTCCTCCATTTCTTTCGTTTGTGATCGATTTCGTTGTCGCATTTCGCAGTTACAAATGGGACGGGATTTCCGGTGGAGCCTACAGCCTTGGCTTCCGTCAGCCCCGCCCTATGCGGCTCCTGCTGCTCCGGGTCCTTCAGTACTATCTGCAAAGCGCCTCTGAGAGATAGGTGTCCTCGATTTTCACCTGCTGCCAAACAGTCTATGCTCTCCCCCAATGTGCCCGGTATTGGGGTTCAGTTCAGTTGGAAGTGGAGTTGGAGGTGGCGTTCAGAGAAGACTGGAGCCCCAGTTTCCTTCCCTCCAGGGCAATCCCGCGGCACAGCGGACCGACCCTTCTTTGCCAGCAAAGTGTGCACCGCCAGGACCTCCTTTTGCCGCTTCCCCAGGGTTCCGCCTTACAGCCGAGCTCCCTATGGATGAGCCTGGGTCCCCGGGGTCTGGCCTAGAACTGGGGTTCAGAGCAGTCAGAACTGGGGCCCAACACAGTCAGAGCATTTATCTCCTTCCCGCTAGGGACTGCCAGCCAGGCACTCGGCCTCCCTCCTCTCTGGCTCCGTCCTCTCCGCGCACTGCGTGTCTCCGTACCTCAGACTTTTACAGCTCCTCCACACTTCCTTCTGGTTTTCTCCTTGCTTCTCATTGTAGAATTTCCAGTCAGTTGACTTTCCTGTAGTTCTGGGTAATGTCCATTTTATATTTTAGTTGTATTTTATTGAAATTGTTGTGTGCAGCTGCGGCTAGGTGTTTACCTGGGCGCAGCCATCTTGGATCCTTGAGCTCACAACTCTTGACTAGAATCAAACCGGGGATCTTTCAGTCTGCAGGCTGATGTTCTAGGGCTCTTTTCATTTTCTTGATAATGCCTTTTGATGAACAAATTTTGATAACGTTAAATTATTTATTTTTTCTTTTTTTGTTTGTGTTTTTGGTGTCATATCTAAGAATTTATTGACAAATCTAAGGTCATAAAGATTTTCCTCTATGTTTTCTTGTAAGGGTTTTATAATTTTTTCTCACATTTAGGCCATTAATTTATTTTTAGTTAATTTTAAAATATATATATATTTTATTGATTCTAGAGAGGAAGGGAGAGGGAGAGAAAGATAGAAACAATGATGAGAGAGAATCATTGATTGGCTGCCTCCTGCATGCCCCCTCCTGGGGATCAAGTCCGCAATCCAGGCATGTGCCCTTGGCTGGATTTGAACCCAGGACCCTTCAGTCTGCAGACTGACGCTCTATCCATTAAGCCAGTGTTTTTAACCTTTTTTGGGCAAAGGCACACTTGTTTCATGAAAAAAATCACGAGGCACACCACCATTAGAAAATGTTAAAAAATTTAACTCTGTGCCTATATTGACTATATATAAAGTAATTCTCTTGAATAGGAATCAAATAAACACAAAGAAAGTATTTTATAATGACTTTATTATGAAATATTAAGTAAACAAAATAGTGAAAAATTATAAAATTCTTGTCTTGTCTGCACCTACGGCACACCAGGCAACATCTCGCGGCACACTAGTGTGCCGCGGAACAGCGGTTGAAAAACGCTGCATTAAGCCAAACCAGCCAGGGCTTGAGTTAATTTTGTATAATGATCTTTGCATCCTGGTCAAGGCCATAGATGTAAGGGTTTCTTTCTAGATTCTCCATGCTATTTAAATGGCATATTGTATATCTGTCTTTATGCTGGTACCACACTATTTTGGTTACTGTAGCTTTGTAGCAAGCTTTGAAACTGGAAGTGTGAGTCTTTCAATTTTATTCTTCTTCAAGATTGTTTTGATTATCGAGGCCCCTTTGTAATTCCATATGAATTTGGTGCTCAGCTTTTCCACTTTTGCAAAAAACACCACTGGAATTTTGATAAGGATTGCATTCAATTTTTAGATTACTTTAGGCAGTACTGCCACTTAATAATATTAAGTCTTCTAATCTATGAACACAGATCTTTCCACTTATTAGGTCTTTAGTTTGTGTAAGCAATGTTTTTCACTTTTTAGTATATAAGTATTTCTCTTCCTTGGCTATATTTATTGATAGATACTTTGTTATTTTGCTTGCTATCATTAATGAAACTGTTTTCTTAAGTTCCTTTTGGATTGTTTGCTGCTGATATATAAAAATATGAGATCCTCACCTGCCATGTAAACAGTTCACCTATCCAGGCTGGTGTTGCTCAGTGGTTGAGCATCAACCTATGAAGTAGAAGGTCACAGATTCAAGTTCATGACTGACTGGGTTGCAGACTCCATCTCTGGTGGGGGGGCATGTAGGAAGCAGCTGATCAATGATCCTTTCTCATTGATGTTTTCATCTCTCTCTCTCTCTCTCTCTCTTTCTCCCTTCCTCTCTGAAATCAATAAAAATATTTTAAAAAATAAAAAATAAACAGATCACCTACCCTGAGACCTCCATGCTGTGAAGAAGATCAAAGTAGCTCATGGAGAGAGGTGGTTTGGCAAGGCCCTGAGACCATATGAAGAGAGAGAGATGCCTGACCAGTCTCAAATGCTCCAGCCACCTCCCTCCCTACAGTGCTCCAACTCTAGCCACTCTTTGACTGAAACTGTATAAGGGACTTTGAGCCAGAGTACTCAGCTCCCCAAATTCCTTACCCACAGAAATCATGAAAGATAATGCAATGATTTACGTTGTTTTAAGCCACTAAGTTTTAGGGTGACTTTTATTTATTTATTTATTATTATTATTATTTTTTTCAAATCGACCTGTTTTATTTTTTATAAAAAAAAAAAAAAAAGAGGAACCAACCAAACAACAAAAAGGCAGCCACCTGGCTCCCACGGGCACTGGGCATGCGTCTCAGCGGGCAGGCCCGTCAACTCGTGATGGGCTGCAGTTTGTTTGAACACATCACTAGGTACGGGAGGTGCTAACATGTAGCAAAGTAAAGAAAAGTCGGTGAGAACCAGTAGTCTAAACGTAAAGTGCACGGCGAGGTCTGTGCAGGGCCTGTGGCCTGGCCTCACCCTCCCCTGGCCAGGAAAGGGGCCTAGCACAGGATTGCAGAGGTAACAGGAGGTTGTATCCACTGCCCACGATGGGAGAGGGGGAACAGACCCAGTCTCTGCTGCCCCCAGCAACAGCCCTCCAGAGCATCCCCTCAGCTTCCCGAGGGATTGTCAGAACGAAGGGTGTGGCGGTGGCCTTCCTGTGTGGTCAGCAGTCGTTGGGAAGATGGAAGAGGACCTGGGTCATGGCACATGGCCAGGGCTCTCTGAGACGGGCTATGGCTGACCGCCCTCACTGCTGCTTGCAGGCTGACAGCCGACGGATCTTGCCACTAGTAGAACAGGCCTTGCGGGCAGGGTTGGAGGCAGCACTGGCCCGGCGCTCTGCCCTCGATCTGGTGCTTAGCTGCACTGAATCGGTGCCATTCATGCACATGCTCTTGGGCAGGCCCCGGCTCTGTCCATTTTGACTGGCCTCTTCTTCCGGGACTTGTCCTAGGAGGAGAGGGCAAGTGTGGGCTGATGGGGACCCAAGCGAACACCCCTCCCACACACAGCCACCCCGTTTCCCACCCCCCTACCCCACTGTCCTACCTGCAGGGGCTCTCACCCTGGTAGAGGGAAAGCTGGCTAGCTGGCCAGGACACTTATTGAAGGACCAAGGTTGTGGGACCAGTACCGGTGCGGGCTTCAGCCCTCTCACCTGTTTGTAGGCTACACCTTGCTGGGCTGTCCTGTGGGACTTGGGAGGAGCAGAGCTCAGGCTGGGTGTGTCTCTCCCAGAATAGCCCACTGGGATGGAGGGATCAGTGCCAGGGACCTACCATGGTATGGCCCCACCCTCACCCTCAATGCATCCTGGCGGCCATTTGCCTAGGACTTCAGGCCCACTTGCACTCCTGTGCTCACTGAGGCAGAGGAGAGTATGCACGGAGGGGCCCACGAAGCTCAGTCAGTGCACACCAAAACCTGGCTTGCTGCCTGAGGCCTGCCCTCCTGTGACATTGGTGGGAAACTAACCTCATCTGCCTGGAGCCCCCATCTCCTCTCCAACACAGAGCCCCCTCTCTGCCCAGGATATCCAGGGCCCGACTCACGGCTTCAGGAACTTGCCACACCGGGCCATGTGCTCTGACTGGGAATCAAACCACGACCTCCTGGTTCATAGGTCAATGCTCAACCACTGAGCTATGCTGGTGGGCTAAAGGAGAATTTTAAAGGGCACTGACCTTTCCATGGTAACTGATCTAGTAGAATTCTTCCTTTTCTTTGATTTCCTTGACAATTTTTTTCCTGGTTTTCTTCCTCTATCCATGTCATCTACCTACACTCCTTTGATTTTACCTTCCCCTTAAATGTTGATGCTCTGGCTTCAGTCCTTGTCTTTTTTCTTGCATCCCACTGTCCTTGAAAAAAATTTCAACCCTAAGCTGATGCCAGTCCAGACCTCTTTCCTGAGCTCTGGACTTAAAAAACCAATTGCTCACTGACCATCTCCCTCTGGCTAACCCATATTCACCATGTCCAAAATGAATCTCTTCATTTCCTTCTCATTCCTTATCCAAGTAATGTTCAATGTTCCTATTTTAATGATTAGCATCCCTTTACACCCAGTTGCCCAAGCCAGAATACTGAGAATCATTTCAGACTCTTCCCTCTTCACTGTCCTTCATAGTCAATAACCATATTTTGTCAAATCATGTTGCACTGCTGAACAAATTGCATACATTACTTCACATCTAATTATCATCATAAATATCTTCTGCAACATTTGTGTTCTTCCTTAACACAATCATACACACAGTCTTCTGTATTCAGACCAGACATACCCAAGCCATAGCTGCTGTTGTCCATGAATTTAGAGCTGTTTTCTTTAGCAAAAAAGGTGAGCTGCTATAGCCATCCAGATATAAAACTGCAAAGTCAACCAGTGACTATGGCATGGAGGCTAGTTTGGAGGAAAGAGAGTGGAGGCAGACAAATCAGTTAGGGTCTATGGCAGTTGCCACATCTCTGCCACTCACTGGTTCTGTGACCATAGGAAAGACTTGCACTTCTTTGAGTCTCAGTTCCTTCATCTGTAAAATAGGGATAATAATTTTACCTACTTGTAAGGTAGTTGTCAGGATATAATAAGATAAGCACATGCAGTATTTGGCATAATGCCTTGTACACAGAGAGTGCTCAATAAATTATCATTGAATTTTCAAGAATGAGACTTAGATGAGAACATGGGTGACTCTAGCAGCTTGTCTTCTTTGCTGAAGACAACAGCTCCAAACTCATGGACTGCACCAGCTATGGCTTGGTATGTTGGGTCTAAATAGGAAAGATTGTCATGCATTTATGTTGACTAAGGTTGAACATGAATATTGAAGGAGATATCCTTATTTTTTTTATAGTTGACACTATTACAGAGGTCTCTCATATCTCCCCCTCCCCGCCATCTTTTGCTCTCCTCTACCCAGCCTCTGTCCCCACCACTGCCCAGTCCTTCACCACATTATTGTCTGTGCCTATGAGCTATGCTTATGGAGATGGTCATAGGCTATGCATATATATGTTCATTGGTTGCTGTCTTCTAGTACTCCCAACCCCCATCCTGTGTTGTGTTCTGAGGTCAGGCTGGCATCTAGGGACTAGAGGAACTGAAAGGTGCTTGGAAGCTGACTTAACCTGCCCAACTGGAGCCATCATGTCTGGAGCCAGACAGCAGAGGGCAGCAGAGGTTGGTGCAATAGCAGCTCCCTAGGTTGGAGTAGGGTGGGGAAAAGAAATCTAAGGGACTTGGGGTTCTAATTCCAAATGCGGGGTGGGCTAGGGATGCTGTCCAAAGGAGAGAAGTGTTCTTGGGATCACTCTCCATTAGGGCCTGGGATGAACATAGTTGAGGAAGTAGGGCAGCTTGTGAGGGGCCAAAGGGCTAGAACTTAAGGGTAGGAGCTGTGTAAGTTTGGATGTTTATGAAGTATGTTAAGGAAAATGCTTTTATCCTAGTCTTGTGTATATTTGGACCTTCTCACATTTCTCAAAGTCCCAATGATCCCTGTCAGGGCAGAGTTATCAACTGGGGACCCTAGAGGGGGAGGATAGAGATACCATTGTGTGTGTTCAATGATGAATTCATACTACAGGAAGAGACTGCATCTCTAAGGTATGGCTAGAAGAAGCCTCAGGTTCATGAGGAAACCAAGGCACAGAGAAGGGAAATGACTTGCTTAAGGTCATATAGTTAAGATTTAAAGTAAAAGTCAACACTGACTGAGACCCTATAATATAACTGCTGAACAAATTGCATACATTACCTCACATAACCACCACAATACTTTATCAGGAAGAATCAGATGTTTTATTATAATAAATTTATAGATGAGGAAACTGCAGCTCAAAAAAGTTAAGCCATTTGCCCAAGGTGCAGCCAGGATGTAAATCCAGGAAGCCTATCCCCCCCTCCAACTCATAGACCAAAGGTTAGGTTTATAGACTCCCATGTCAGGGCTATTATCATTAATTTACAGTGTCTTGGATGGAAAAACCAGTAAATTATATCCTGGTCTTGAATTAAGTTTAATAGTAAGGCAGTTTGCTACTTTATATGGATTCTCAGCTAACTATTTTGTGAAGTAAATACCCCCATTAAAATATCTCCTCTCATCCATTATTTACCTGCTTTGTGATGTTCTATATTGTGTGAACTGTCTGGGAGGTGTGTGGTTGGTGTGCTTCCGACAGAGCACTCATATGTTCTACTTTAGGTGGCTTCTTTATCAGCCTGCTCCAGCTCTCTCCTGGGCTACCATCCTACACAGATTGTCAGAATGGGTCCAGTGTTAGTAAGAATCAGGTAAAATAATGGAACCTTTTGGATGATCCTCTATTTTATTTTCCATTACTATTGCTTATTGTTGACCATTTTTAAAAAATATATATATATTTTATTGATTTTTTACAGAGAGGATGAGAGAGGATAGAGAGCTAGAAACATCAATGAGAGAGAAACATCTACCAGCTGCCTCTTGCACACCCCCTACCAGGAATTGCCTGGAGCCATAAGGAAAAAGTCGGGTCTCACTTCCTGGTCAGTTCCACTTCCTGGTTGAGCAAGAGCACGCGCCGACAAAAAAAGCCCGCCAAAACTGTTATCCCTCCCACATTGGAATAGCCAACCAGCTAAGAACAGGTACCCACCGCCCAGTCAATCACCTTGTGACAACCCCCCCTTTTCCTACCCCTCCCCTCCCAGCCTGAGAGCTTATAAACCGTTGTTCTTGAATAAAATTTTGAGGCTTGATCAGAACCCTGTCTTGCCTCCGTTCTTCGCGTTCCTTGTTTGTTTCATTCTCTTAGGTGGTTCCTGCGTACCCCGTTGTTGCCCTGCCGCGGGTTGGGGCAGGGAATGTGCTCGCAACCAATGTACATGCCCTTGACCGGTATCGAACCTGGGACCCTTCAGTCCACAAACCGGTTTTGGCATTGTTGACCATTCTTACTCTTATTGAGTGTCTGTCTGCATGGAGGCATGCATGAAATTCATTCATTCATTCATTCATTCATTCATTCAACACTTGCTAAGCACCTATTATATGCCAAACATTATGCCAGATCCTGGGGGTACATGATGAATGAGGAATGCACAGTCCCTACCCTCATGGGATTTTGAGTCTAGAAGGGAAGCATGTTGATTGAAAATCATTCCCTTTCAGGTGCCTCTAACTAGAATTGGGAATCTCTCATATCCTCCATTTCCATTTACTTAGCTTGAGCTCTCACCATCTGTTTCTTCCTTGGTTACTGCAGCTGGCTTGCCAGTCTATGCCTTCTCCCAATCCCCCACCTCCATTCCAGCCTGCACATAGCAGAGAGACTCCACCTTTGAAAACATCCCTTTTAACATGTCACATCCTTCCCTTGCTCAACCTGCTCAACTCCTTCAATGACCCCCCCATTTCCTGTCAAATGGAATCCAGATTCCTTCCCAGTCTGACCAGAGTCAAGCAATTCCATGAGTTATCCTGCTCTACCCTTCCCTCCCTACTCTTATTTCTTACCTGCCCCTCTGCTCTAGTAGGAAGAGTCTTCTTACTGCTTTTATACACAGCCATCTCATTCCTCATCTGTAGTTCAGTTCTATGTCTGCAAATCCTACATCACCTTCAGAAGATCCAATCTTCAGTAGAGTACCACTTTCTGCAGATAGCTTTCCCTAAATAAACCCCTTTCCCACACACTTCCATTCTTTGTTGTCTCTTTTCTGTGTTCCTGAGCACAGGTCCTGGCAGGTGTGAGAATCAAATGAGAACCCATCATGGGAAAATGCTTTGTATTGCACAATGTGAGAGTGTCTTCATATTGATTCTAATATCTACCATTTATTGAACATGTGTCTTCTGAGAGACAGAACTGCTCAGTGGTTCATAGAATCATCTCACTGAATCCTTATAACATTCTATACAAAATAGATAATATTTATTAGATTCATTATCCAGATGAGGGAACCGAGGCTCAGAGAAGTTAGATATTGGGCCTAAGATTTCGCTTCTAGGGAAGTCTATCTGAGAAGACTGACCTCTTTTAAGAGATGGTCCATTGGTCGGAGCTTGTTTGAATTTTAATTCTGCTCTTTTAAACTTCTGTAATTAACTCCATATGGCCTTTGAAGGGATTTTTTTTTTTTTTTTGCACTGGATTTTTAAAAATTCTAGTGATATCATCCCTGGCCAGCTCTCTGTTCCTGTTTTATTATTATTTTATTGTTGTAAGCCACCTCAAAGTGTTTGGGAAACAAGATGTAAGTATTTTCAATAGTTAAATCCATGCAATTAAAATGCATTTCTCCTGTCTCTATTCCCAGTGTCCAGACAGAAGTGGGACCTGGTGCAGGGTTATCATCATCATCTAACTCTGTATTTTGTGAAGGCTTGAGGAAAAGGCAATACAAGTCAGAAGCCAAAGGTCAATTCCTTCTATGAAATAAAAGGACAAAGAGTATGTGCCAGGTCTTCTAGAAAAATGTCAAACTATGGCAAGGACTCAATTTCCTCCCACATTTTATTTTTTATTTTTAAGGAGTCATCAGGTGGTAATGAATGATTCATGCTTTACTTACTCTTGTTTATTTCCCTTCCTCGACCTTCAGATTTTTTTGTCCTTAATGTTTGTTCCGGGTTTTCATAAAGCACTGAGGTACTTGACTTGTGTTGGTTACATTTTTCTCCAATGTCTCCTTAGGAAAAATAAATAAAAGGAAATGACAGTATTCCAAAACCATCTTTCATTCTATCAGTGGAAGGATTGCACCTGCTATTTCTCAGGTCACTTCAATTGTTTCCTTTTACAGTAAAACTTCATGAAAAGACACTCCATGAGTACCAAATGGCTATGGAGGGACCAATCTGACCTTACTTTGCCCATTCTGGGTAGAAAGAGTGTTCTGCATAAAAATGGACTCCTTGTACTGAGTTTCCATACTTTAAGGCAGCAAATGTCACTTTTTTGGCAGGGCCATTTGTATGTGGAAAAACAGTATGGAGTTTCCTTAAAAAATTAAATATGGAACTGCCTTTTGACCCAGTGATCCCACTTATAGGAATAAATCCTAAGAATTATTTTTTAACAGCCCCAGAAGCACTTCCAGAAGAATGGAACAGCGGACTCTCCCTCCGAGACAAAGATGTGCTGCCCTGTCCTTCAGTTGGATCCCTAACAATAGAGATCCCTTTGTACTGAACATCCACATGCTTGTTGTCTTGTTCTTTGTGACTAAAAACATGGGTTAAAATTTATGATCAGTACATGGTTGTGATGAAAAATTGGTTCTTTGTGATGCAGTCCAAGTACTTTACTTCTCTAAGTTCAAGTTACCTCATTCTACATTTTTATACTCAGACTATGAACAAGATTAAGGGAAGTTAGAGGCCAGGGTTAGGGGTCAACCTGTGGATGAAGAACTAAGTGAAGGGCCTTCCTTTTCTAATCCTGACTGCCTGCTTATAGGTAGCACTATGCTCTTCCCTGCTGAGCTTAAGTCACAAGACACAACAACTAGAGGACACTGGAATTATGGGACAAAGACATTTAGGAAGGTAGGGAAAGATACTGGATATTTCCTTCCCAGTACTTAAACACTTTCAGTAAAGCAGTGTTTTTCAACCTTTTTTGGGCAAAGGCACACTTGTTTCATGGAAAAAATCACGAGGCACACCACCATTAGAAAATGTTAAAAAATTTAACTCTGTGCCTATATTGACTATATATAAAGTAATTCTCTTGAATAGGAATCAAATAAACACAAAGAAAGTATTTTATAATTACTTTATTATGAAATATTAAGTAAACAAAATAGTGAAAAATTATAAAATTCTTGTCTTGTCTGCACCTACGGCACACCAGGCAACAGCGGTTGAAAAACGCTGCAGTAAAGGAGGCAAGAAGAAAAGGCTCACATCCACAGTCACCAATGTAGCAAGGAATTCTCTGGTTCCAAATAAGTACTATTTGAAATGGATTATTTGCTGTGAATTTCTCTCTGGGAGACTCTGGTAATGGCATGCTGCCAGAATATGTTTTAGTGAAGCTGTATCTTCTTTGCTTACACTAAGGGTGGGGAGGAAAGGAGATGGGCTGGACCACCTTGGCCATATTTGAGTTACCAAATGACAATAGAATTCCTGCTTAGAATGGTAGGGAAGTGGGCTTCTCTGATCTCTTGGGAGGAATTGTAATCACC